GCTGAATTAGCATTTGTGACTCCTACTGTCAGGTTTTAAAAAAAAGATGTCAACATCAGTGCGCCTGCTGTGTTCCTAAGATGCTGCTTGTTCTCCAGAGTTCTCCAACAGAACAATTGGATTTATACTTTTTGAGATTAAATTACACACTGGTACTCCTGTAGGCCATTGCTGAAAGTATCCAAGTAAAAGAAGGAGGACACGTCCGCATGCCTTTATTTATTTTTTTCTATTTTTTGTTGATTTCATCAAGAGAAAATTAGAAAAAGTGATGTGGATTGGCTGTCATCCAGGCTACTTTGACCCGCTCTCTTCTTGCAGAACGCTGACCCTGCAGGTCCCACAGGATTACATCACCTGATAAAGGCCACTAAGTGGAAACGAAGGGACCTCAGGCTTTAATGAACCAATCAGAAATCACATGTCGGTGTTCCAGGATGGCATATGTGAATTCCTTAGCTAGAGTCAAACCCGCACAGCCGCAGTGTACAGACTGGTTCGTACGTCAGCGCTGCCAGACTCACGCCACCTTTGCTACACTAGCCATATGCAAACAGTCAATACCGTGGCTCCTCTTTGTACATTGGCATTTTGTTTGTACTTTTTAAGGCAAAATAATGGCTATAAAAGGCAATCTGGAAGGAATAAAATCTGATGTAAAGCTCAGATCTCAGTCCCTGTAGACTGGGTTAATTGGCCTGGTGGTTTAGTAAAAGAAAAAAAACACAACGCAAGAGAGAGGGAGAGCATTATTACTGGCCCACCTCAGCTTCCATGCATGTGCCAATGTTTTAATAACTTCCTCCAGGCCTCCCGGCCCTTAGCCCTTGTTTCCCCGCGCAGGACAAAGAGCTGCCCTCCTAAGCTGGTCCCGGGTTCTGTATTGTGCACTTCCTCCCCCGCCCTTGTTTTCATGGGAAAGCCTGCCAGTGTGAACACCTGGGCAGAGAAATAACAGATAGTCCCCCCTTTCTTTTAGGTGAATTCCATTACAGCAAAGCGTTTTACAAATTGCTGGCGAAACGACAAAAAAAAAAACATCAGCGGAAACACAGTGTGGCGTATTACCGAATCCTGCTGCGACTCCATTTCATTTAATCTCTCATCTCAGCCTCGTTCACAAAGAAAAGAAAAAGAGACACACACACAGGAGTGTGTGGCAGAGTAAATTGGCCGATTAGGTCCAGCGTCGTTGGAGGAGGAGGAGGATGTAACCGTTCTAACTGGCACTTGACCTCGGCGGTCAAAGGGGGGGGAAAAGGTCAGGCCCTGCATGTCAGGCAGGCGACTGTGATTACCACAAATGAAGCATGACGTGACTCGACATGATCTTTTAATGAGGGCTTGTATTGGCCAGAGCTCTGAATGTCAACCCTTTCTCAATGTTTAGCTTTCATCCCAACAATTTACACTGTAAAAAATTAGTTTTGGGGGATACTAATTATTGGGCTGAAGAATATTGTACATATTCTGGAAAAAATTAAGAAACCACCCCAAATGATCGGTATCTCAGATTTTACTGAAAAAGATGCAGCGCTTTCAGACCTCAAAGTTCATATTCAGCTCGAAACAGCAATAATGTTTTAACTCAGGAAGAGTTCAGAAATCAAGATTTGGTGGAATAACTATGAGGTTTCAATGGGGTTCAGTGCAATGGGCTCTTAATGTGTTTCAGAGCTGTACATATATAGAACAGGTACATAAGTTTGTAAAAATAATGTCAGCTTTTTAAAATTTTTGTAATAAATACTAAACTTAGCTTAAATGACTGAAGCTGTTGGTTCCGTCAACAGGTTAATTTCCAGTTTGAGATGAGGGGAGTAAGGCTAAGATGTTTGTGTATGCTATCATAAATACTTATATCAACTTAATGAAGTTGATAGAAAATATTTTGAGTCAAGAGACTGCTGTAAAACTGTTTTCAAAGCAAGAATTTCAGGGGTTTTTTATCCAGCTTTAGCTAGTTTTTGGGACAGTGCTAATGTTGAAGTCAAACTGAAGCTGAGCAACTTCACACAGAGACAATTTTTGTCAATGAAATTAACTAACACGCCACCTTATCAGAATACATTCAGAAAGTTTATTATTACCTCTGTAGAGTTTTATGCCGTCATCATTAGCCACTGATTTTTTTTTCTCGTCTCGTAGCCTGTAAGTCACAAACCACAAAAGATACATGATCCCAATAACTTGTCAGAAAATTGCTCATTTAATTGGAAACGATCATTTTAGAGATTGACTGGAAAATAATGATGTCTTTTAACTAATAAACTATTCAAAGCTACACATCTTCTCCGAACAGAACCGGCCCAAGGCCGAGTTGTTGGATCCGCAACAAAAGGTTGACTTTTTACACTGATCTCAAAACTTTACATTTGTTCTGTTTTTTTTGTTAAAATTGGTTAACAATGACCTGCTTCACAAATCTTACTGACAAGATTGCAACTGGTACAATCTTTTTGAAGCTAGCCTAGCATTAGCGTTACTGCTAAAGTAAAGTTTGTTTGCTTGCAGAGCTTCATAACCCTCAGTCCCTTGGTGTTGCTAATGAAGACGAAGATCAGCAAAGTGATCGAAGTAAATATAGATTAACTAACTCGGCAAGTAATTTCATTAAAAGTAGTTGAAATGAACCAATTTCATTTAAATGTGTATTAGCTGCTAAATAATTTAACCCGTGGTTAATATCCAATGTATGAAAATTGTTATTTAGATTTCATTGGGTAACTTTGCTTTATTATAGGCTGGTTTACTATTTTTCCTGCTCTCTGTTCATCCCCTTCCCCCCTTGTTGCTCGCTTGCTTGTTGGGGAAGTTGATGAAGTTTGTCTTTGGCCATCATTAAGCAGCCACCATTGACTGCCACTCTATTAGCTGCCACGCTTCCTTTAGCAGCATATGGTGCACCAGTGTAAGATATGACAAGATGCAAATTTGTTGCTGTAGCGGTGGTGGGGCTGGTGGGTTATAAGCATGGCGGGTTTTGATTTACTTGAATTCATAATCCTAGTGTGTATATATAGTGAAAAGAAGAATAGAAAAAGCAGACATGAAGTAGCTCAGTCCTTTATCGTTATTGATCCATTAGGTCCAGAGATAATGCAGGTCTGTCCCTGTGGGGGCATGTAAATAGCCTCCGTGTGTGTGGTGCGGTGTGTGCACACACACCAGTCAGGTCTCTTAAGTCCCCCCCACCCCTCTTCTTTACCCCTTACCTCCTCCTTTTCCCTTCCCCTCCCTGGATCTCTTCTCCCCATCCAAGCTGTTAAGCTGTCCAGCTCTCTGCTGCCAAGCGGCCGTGTGAAGCTTAGCCAAACTAAACACGGGCAGGCAGCCCGCCACTCGCCCCACACACGCACGCAGTTGTGCGTGTGCGATCGCAGGCGCACATGCCTCCAACCCCGCGTGCGCATGCACTGATGGGGGGGGGGCTACGCTTGCGCGCGTGTGTCAACGCGCTACCCCGCATTAGCAGTGAGAGTCGGGTCGCGTCCCAACCCACACAAATAGTGAAAGTGACGGCTGCACCAGAGCACTACTAATAGCGGAGGAAAAGCGACAGAATCAGTAAATGAGCCCCTCATTAACTTTTTCTGACCCTTTCTCCCCAGAGGCAAGCCAAACCAATCACAGAGCCAAATCAGCTTCCTGTACCAGACACTGATCCAACATCAGCTTTCGCTCATCTGCTCTCCTCGGTGCAAAGTGAGAGCGTGTGAATTTGTGCGAGAAAGGATGTAGACTGTGGAGCGGAGAGAACATATTCCTAAGCGTGTATCAGTGTCTGCATGTGTTTTACATTCCATTACAAAAGGTGGCTTTGAGGCAGTCAGCCATCTTAAGGACTCTTTTGTTGATCATATAAAACTCTGGCCAAGCCTAACTTCCCCGGCTTTGTGTTGGCCCCTCCGGGGCTTCAAGCTCTGGGACGACTGTACCAACTTGACTCCACTTGCGGTAGCCGCTGATCATAAAGTAGATTCAGATGCCTTGCAAGCAAACACAAGACTGTGGAAATGCCTCTTCAGTGGGAAGCCTGCGTTCAATTAGATGAACCTCTCCCGGGTTTTTTTTTTTTTCTTTTTTCTTGTGAGTCAAAAGCAGGCTGACAGGGCCATGCCACAGTGACTGATAGATGCATTTGGTATTATTAAGTCACTGCATTTAAAGGAGTAATTTGTCAAAGAGTGACGCTCAGTCCTCAGAGTGTGGAGCCACACAGCTCTCTTTACAGTCCCCCGTAACGACACCAGTGACGCAGGGATCCATTTAATGTGGACACAGTTATAAAACCAGCGGCACTTTTATTTACTCATCAGCTCTATCTCTTCTCTGGTTTCTCTCTTTGTCTTCCCCTCCGGTTCCGTCCACAACCCCCACCCCTAATATCGTCAGCTTTTTACCCATTGTTCGCTCCCCGGTTTCCATATGGAAATGACAGAGTTGACGAGATGGAGCTGTATATTAAAGCCCTGCTGACATTAGAATTTGCATAATGTGTCACAGCCTAAGGGCAATACCTGCCACCTATATTAGCCTGTAGAAACACACCCTTTCTTATGAAGTCTCATAACACAACGCACAAACAGAAAGCTCATCTTACGCTTCAGTCTCAGGGAAATACATTTTCCCAAATACCTCACATGTTCGCGTGCAAAATAATTCACAAGACAAGGGTTGGCTTATCTTAAGCACCGAAACAGAATGCAGCTTCTTTTCGTGATTCTTGAAGACACGGCCGCTCTTTTCCAAATGGCTTCCTCAGTCCTGACAACAGATTGAAAGTTTATAAGCTAAGAGGTGAAAATGTTTTGGAAAACGAAACGACATGTCCAGTTTCCTATTTGTTGCACAACTGGAAATGTCATGTTTTCATTGACATATAGAGTCTACACCTATATAATCAGTGTGGTTGTTGAATTAAAAGGGTTTTTGTACATTATTTGAGAAAGGTGTGTGTTTACAATGTTTTTTTTTTCCTTTTTTCTCTTGACCTTCAGATAAAGATGAACCATCCAGCTATATCTGTACTACCTGCAAGCAGACCTTCAACAGCGCCTGGTTCCTGCTTCAGCATGCCCAGCACACTCATGGCATCCGCATCTATCTCGACAACCATCTGGCCAACTGCTCCCTCACTCCCCGCATGGCTCTGCCTCCTCCCCCAGGAGCCGATGCCTTGCCTCGCTCCCCTCTTCCTACTTTCCTTGGCGACACCAACAACCCATTTCACCTCCTCCGCATGGCTGCGCCCTTGCTCAGGGAACATCCCCACCCTCCAGGGTACATGGAGACCCGCCTTCCTGCGACGCCACCCTTTGTCAGCCCTCCGCCTCCCCCTAGGCCACCTCTAGAGCGACTGGGCCCAGAGGAAATGGGGCTGCTGTCACAGCACCCCAGTGCCTTTGAGAGGGTGATGCGAATGACCCCTATGGAGCCCCCTTCCATGGACTTCTCCCGTCGACTGAGAGAACTTGCGGGCAACACAACCAATAACGGCGGGCCCACACCTCCTCTGTCACCAAACCGCGTGCCACCCATGCACCGCCTGCTGAGTCCAACGCTTTTTCAGCCTGGTGCCAAGCCCCCAACATTTCTCACCTATGCCCCACAGCCACCTGTATCCCAGGGGGGCCTCGGCTCCTCCAGCCCTCCAGACGCACAAGGTCAGAATAATGCCCCTGGAAAGTCGAAATCTTGCGAGTTCTGTGGCAAGATCTTCAAGTTTCAGAGCAACCTAATTGTCCACAGACGCAGTCACACAGGAGAGAGGCCCTACAAGTGTCATCTGTGTGATCATGCCTGCTCCCAGGCCAGCAAACTTAAAAGGCACATGAAAACACATATGCACAACAAGTCTGGGAACCTGACGGGCTCTCCAGAACAGGGGAGTCGGGGAGACGAAGGAGAAGGTGACGGAAAAAATCGAGAGGGCGAAGCGCGGGTTATGGAGATGGAGAATGAGGAAGAAGAGGAAGAGGAGGAAGAAGAGGAGGAGGAAGAGGAGGAGGAGGAAGAGCTAAGGAATGGGAGTCGACCAGACTCCAACCTGAGTGATGACTCCCAGGAATTCAGTCACAACAGAGAAAATGGTCCCAGACAGTCCCCTGAGGAAAAACCCATGAGTGGGGACAGAGTTAATAACAATGGCGGGGTGGGCATGATGCATCCATACAACCACCTGGACAATCACCTTAGACTTAACCCTAACAAGAGAAGCTTGGAGAGGCAACCCAATGGAGACAGTGGGGAGAGGAATGAAGCTGAGAGAGAAAATGACAGGGAACCAAACAGAGAGCGAGAGGAGCAAGAGGATATTAGGCCCATGATGAATGGCAGGATCAGTGTAAGTGAAGTGGAGACCTTTCCTGGGCTTTTTCAACGTAGGCCCACTCCCATCACCAGCCCGAGCCCCTCCAACAACAAGAGGATCAAGATAGAGAAAGAACAGTTGGATATTCCTCCAACCATACCCCTCATATCCCCAGAAAATGTCTACTCCCAGCTGCTGGCTGGTTACGCTGCTTCTCGCCACTTCATCAGAGAACCTTTCTTGGGGTTCACCGACTCCCGCCAGTCGCCGTTCGCCACCTCCTCCGACCACTCCTCCTCAGAAACGGGAAGCCTGCGCTTCTCCACTCCGCCCGGGGAGCTGATCGAAGGCGGCAGCGCGTCGGGGCGCAGCGGAAGCAGCACTCCTCACCTCCTGCGCGGACCGGGGCCCGGCCGGCCTCCCAGTTCGAAGGAGAAGCGTAACGACACCTGTGAGTACTGCGGCAAGGTGTTCAAGAACTGCAGCAATCTGACAGTCCACCGGCGCAGCCACACGGGGGAGCGGCCGTACAAGTGCGACCTGTGCAGCTACGCCTGCGCCCAGAGCTCCAAGCTGACGCGTCACATGAAGACCCACGGTCAGTTCGGGAAGGAGGTGTACCGATGCGACATTTGTCACATGCCCTTCAGTGTCTACAGCACACTGGAGAAACACATGAAGAAATGGCATGGTGAACATTTGATGGCCAGTGAGGTCAAACTGGAGCAAGCGGACAGAGGTTAAGCCACCAGCGATAAGTTATAAAGCATATGGCTTACAGTACACACACATCTTCGCTCTCTCTTCACACACAAACACACACGCAATACACACTTACATGCACACAAATCCTATCACCACTTCTTCAGTGACGGGGCTTGGCTGGATTATCACTCTCTTGAAAAATAGAAAAAACAAACAAAAAAAAAAAATTAAGATTGATTGATGTTTATCATTTTTTCTTGTCACACAAACTGCCACCTGAGAATATTACCAAATGGAAACTTTAATAACTTGTCCGAAATGCTCAACTGGGTGTTTCATGGCAAACAGTCTGAGGATTTTATCAGTTAGGAATCTATGGAGCCTTTCTACTGTGCAATAATTTCTGTATTTATTGGATTTTTGTAATGATATTTGGCATGTGCAGGTAAATCTTTGTGGGATTTCATATGGAGTTAGTTTTGAAATGTTATAAAAAGAATTTTTTTTTTTCTAAAATGCTATAACTGAGAAGACGTCCCCACGAATACGATGGTTTACTTTTTTTCTTTTTCCTTTAAGGAAGCTTGTTATCCTGTGAGAGTAAATTTGTGTGAAGCAGTTAGCTTTTAAAAGTTCTAAAAAAAAAAGGGAAAAACAAAACAAACAAACAAAAAAAAAAAAAATTTGTTTTCTATATTACCTGCAGCAGCGGATTACAATCCATTCCCTCATACAGGCCTAAAGCACTGAATGTCTGCCTGACAATAAAACATCCTTTCTGGATTTTAAAAATCCGACATTGTCTTAGAGATCTGGTAAGTTGGTGTTAATTTATTCAGGGAGCATTGTCCTTTTTAAGAAATGGCAAACAAAAAAAAAAAAAAAAAACAAAAAACAAAAAAAAAAGACAAACATTGGAACAATTTCAAAATGCAGTTACTGTATCGGTGTCCTTGCTGCAAAAAAGGACGTAAATAAAAGGTTGCACTTAACAGAGATACCCTTAAACTGATGCTCAGTACATTCCTAATGTAGGATTAAACCACCATATTTAATATGTTGAATAAGTTAAGACTACTTGTGATTAATGTGAGAATGGGAACAGTCCTTTTTATGGTTTGTAAATATTCTTTTTTTTATATATATATGTTAAATTAGCCCTGACTGTAAATGAAAGATGGCCTAAATCTACACAATCAAAAGAAAAAAAAAACAACAACAAAAAAACCCAGCTGCTTACATATCTGACATGTAACTACCATCCTTTACTTTTCTTCAATGAGCCCACCTCCAGTTCAGGTCATTTGTTGAGCAAAATTTGCTTTCCTGTCAAAACCGCCCCCTCCTGCGTCTGATGTGGAACGACTCGGCGACCCGAGCTGACTTCCTGTATCCCACGACGACCCCCCACCCCCAAAAAAAAACAACAACAAAAAACTGGTTCTCAACTGAAATTAAACTCGCGTCCCTTCGTGCTCCGAGCTCCTCCATCTCTCTGATGGCGTCTTTCCACAGTCCACCGGCTCAGATTCGTGCAGTAAACGGGAAGGCCGCTCAGGGGGGGCTTTAACTCCCCGTAGTAGATTTTGAGACAGTGTGCCCTTACAGGTCTTTCGGGGATTACGGGGACGGGTTTCCATATTTTCTGCATCGTTCATACTAAGATGAGTCTGTTTGAACAAAAAAAAAAAAAAAGAATGAAAAAGCCATATGAGTTATGATAATTTGGAGCACAGCTGCGCTAGGGGATGGCCGAGCGACCTTGAGTAGGGGCTATTCTCGTGGCAAAAATGAAAGATTGGAGCTGAGAAATGAAGACGTGTGAGAAAGAAACAGAGGGAGAGAGAGAAAGAGAGCAAGACCTTGACTGGGGAGAGTAGTCATTCAAATGAAATTGGAAGCATATGAAACATGTATTTTTTCATTTTTTTTTTTGGTACCCAAATGCACATCGACTGGCCACATCTTATAACAGGCCATCAGAGTGAGACAGAGCGAGCGTGAGAGGGAGGGAGACAGCGGAGCCACATGATAGGCGAGCGAGGCTGCATCTTTTATTCTAGCGCCACAATCCTCAGCCATGGAAATCATAATCACTTGAAAGTTTGACCTACCATTTTGCCCTATTGTCAGCTTTTTATCTGCATCACTTCGCTTTGATAAAACAAAAAGATATGCTGTGCTTTAAATGCAATCTCACTTCTTTTTTCTTCTTCTTTTTTGTTGTTTTTTTTATATTTCCTGGCAAATCTGAGAAAGTAAAAAAAAAATAAATAAATAAGAAATGCCGCGGTCACAGCGAGAGCTCTGCATAAGCTACGTAGTTTAGGTCGTATGTTTGGTGAATCGACACAACAGCGAGACTGGCGGACGAGAAGCTTGCTTACATAGTTTTGCATGAATGCAAAAATAGAAAAAATTTAAATATTAAGGAAAAGAGAGAGGAAACGAATCAAGGTGCTTTCTTATTAAACACGTCGCGTATTATTTCCCCCTTTCCCCCGTTCAGAGGCAGTGCAAACGCACTCGGACGACGGAACAGCGGAAAGCTCACAGAGACCCCAGATCACACACAGACATTCAGTCTAACAATATGTTTACAGTGTTGAAGTATGCCATTTAAGGAAATACTCTGTTGGTGTTGACAATAATGCTAAAGTTTTCTTCTTTATTTTTTCCCTCCTTTCTCCGACGTTCTCTCCAATAATTTGGCAGTTTTTGTACAACTTTTCCTGGTGGAGGAGTTTTTAACCTACATTAACGTGTTTCTGTATGATTGCTTGTTCACTGTGTGGAAATCATGTAAAATGCTCAGTGGCGGCAGATATTTTCTTTATTCCTGATTTTTTGAAACAACAGTGATGTCACTTTTGACTCCAGCTATTTGATTATATATAATTTTATAATTTTTTTTTTTACTTTTTTTTATTATTATTTGCCTTGAGCTATCCTTAGAGGATATAAAAAAAAATGAAAAAAAAAATGATTGAAAAACAAGAAAACGGAGGAAAATAAAGCTGAAGCAAAAACCTTCGGGCGAGCGCAGCGGTTCCGAGGAGGAATTCTTCTCCAAATCAATTCTCAAGGACCTTCGTGGACTTTCATGGTTTTCTCCTCATGTTCGATCGAAGGTCTCGTGATGGCACTTACAGCTGTAATTTTTTATTTAATTTTTTCTTGGATACATTTTCATATTTCACTTTTCAACACTTTCACCTACACTGTTTGTACAAAAAAAAGAGAAAAAAAAAGTTTCCTTGTTCCTTTTTTCGTTTTGTTTTTATTTTTGTTTTTGTTTGGAGGGCGGCGGGGGGTGGGGCGGGGAAGGGAGTGCATCATTGTGAAAAAAAAAGTGTTTTCAGAACAGTACACATCTGCTGTTTTGAGCATATATGTATTTTTGTAATGTGTTGAAAAATCAATACAAGAAAGCCAACACTTCAATAAATGTTGCAATTGCTCTATGAGAGAACCATCTCTTTTCATTCAGACTATGATCCAGGTTTTAACGAGAGTTTGATTAGGACTTTGAATCACAGCACTTACACATAATGTTGAAATACTCCTCTGACTCGTTTTAGTTGTAAAAGTATTCCCAAAACACCGGAGACTGATATGATCAGCGCATTTGTCGTAAAACAAGGTTTTCCTATCAGCCTCTCAATTGACCTGGACCCTGTCCTGAGGAGTTTACACATCATTCCCAGCATGTGTGGAAGGAAGGAAGCTGGATTTTCCTTCCCGCAGTCTGCGCGGCAAAGGAGCAGCTCAGATTTTTTGGAACGTTATTGGCAGTAAATGTTCCCTTACTTGTGGTACAAAAAAAAAAAGAAAAAGAAGATGGTTGGCCTCACAAAATCATTCCAAGGGCTGCAAATGGCTTGCAGGCCACACTTTGAACACCTCTGTTTAAAGCAGTTAAGATGTGCTGAATCCAGTGGATGAGTCTGACTAGCTGTCAGGCCCCCCACACTTCTCCACCCCCCGACCAACTCCTTTTCTCAATTTTCTGCAAACTCACAATTATTATTTTTTTTTTATTTGGCTAGAAATGAGTCATCATGAGGATCAACAAAGAAGAAGCAGCTGCTTCTTGATTTTAACGTAGTAAAATAATAAAACTGTCATCATTAACAGATTTACCCCGAATGGATTCTGCAATATAGTGCAGACAAGAACCAGCAAATACTATAAAAATGTTTATAACTCCCTATTTTAATAGTTCAAAGACCAAATTTCCCGTTTTGTTTTATGCACCATTTCAAATGTGCTCTAGGACCGGCTGCTTTGCAAATCCCAGCCAATAGCGTGTCAAGCGGCATCGCGCCGAGCTTTCCGGTCCCCAAAGCTGCGTTTTCTATTAACACACAGGCAGAATTTCCACAAAATAATGTCTAGTTATGTCTTGTCAGAAAAATCCAAGAGGAGGTGACTTTCGCAGATTCTGAAACGCTGGTCGTCGACCTTTGCAGTTTCAATTCGATTTTCCGTAGTTGGGGCATCATAAACCTCTCATAGATCCACTATTCTGTGCATATGATGAAACCTGAACTTCTTTTCAAAGAGAACGCCAATATGGAAGAAAAAAAATTCTTTTGTCATGCATGCTGTAAATATTTGATTAATCTTTCAACCAAAGCTTTGGAGACAATTGATATCCAACCTGCAGCCAAAAACTGCCTTATAATCTTCTTTTGATATGAATCCAGAGAAGCTGGTGTTGAGCTTCATTGGCTGAAGTTAAACACTGGATCACAGAATCCATTCGTAAGCGGGGTAAATCTGTTGGGTTTTATTATTTTACTGCGAACAGACAGGGCTTGATCTTTTGGGCTAGAGGAGCCAGAAAGATGACGGGCAAATCTGCTTCATCAACCCAAGGTCAACTTCTGTGTTTCCACTGGGAAGGTATTCAGCGTTACCAACGCTGTTCCCTGGAGACCTACATAGAAACCGTAAATGAAGCGCTTCCAGTTAGAGTAAACAAATTTGACGCTTCCAGTCGGCTTTTCCTACAGACGCTTCACTTCAACTGGAAGTACTTCCTGTGTTCCCTCTTTTTTTTATTTATTTTTTTATTTTTGTGCGTTTCACACAGGAAGATTATTGCTGGTGCGCCGCCTCCCAACTCCCCTTCAACTGCAAACCGTCTTTTTATCGTTTCTGCGCATAACAGCTGCAGCCGTTTATAGTGTTATTTCCAACGCGGCAGAAAATCCGCCTCGACAGACGCTTCTCTTGGACTCGCCGTAGGAAATGTCAGCAGCACCAACCTGCCCGGGTTGGCGCTGCAGGTCACACAGCAAAGATGCCACGCAATCCTGAATTTAAAAAAAAAAAATCCTGAACTGTCCCTTTAAGCAGGTGAGAAATTATTAAGAGGCACAGAGATGAGCACTACTTAATTGTTTAACAAGTTTACTTTTCCCTTAATAGTAACAGTTTTATGATTAACTGCAATGAAGTAGGAATTAGCAGTCAAAGCGTCATCGTGATTGTTTATTTAATGAAGGTACTTATCAGGATTTCTGCAGAAATGAAGAACAGCCGAACGAAGCGACTGTGTTCTCTGCTAAAGATCCGCGTTGGTAATCACATGTTTGATTCTTAATAAATTCTCACCTCGTTGTCAGCGAGGAATGAGTTTGGACAAGTCGACCCATTATGTTTAATCCAACACCAGCACATCACCAAAAAAAAAAAAAAAGCCCTCAAACAGAAGCATTCTGGTAAATTAAACTTCAGAGGTGAGGTGCTACTCCGGCTTCTTTGTTCTCGCATAAATAAAAACAAAGACGCCTTTGAATGTGACTCACGAGGTTCGCCGACCGTCTCATGCTTCAGAAATGAGTCCTGGCATGAGCGCGGGGGAGCCGTCAGGTATTTGCTGGGTCGAGGCCAACAGCAGTCAGGTCTGTCCTCACTCAGGCCTGCAGGCCATTGGATTGGATTGCAGAACAAAAAAGAAAAAAGAAAAAAAAGGGGGGGGGAAAAAAAAGTTGCATGCGGGATGGGCGTTGTTGCGCTTGCGCAAGGAGACGGGAGAGAGTTGAATGGGAGTGAGAGAAGACGACAAAAGGCTGCAGACGGGGCAGAAAGAAAACAGTCAGGAGGCTCAAATGCTCAAATCCAAGCTCCCTTCTTCTTTTTTTTTTTTTTTTTGTTTTGTTTTTTTCTCCCCAAGGTAAGTCCGGAGAAGTTCTCCGCGCTCGGCTGCTCTTTCCACAAACAGCAACCCATGAAAGCCCTCAGAATGGAAATTCTATATAAAAATGTGACTATTGCTTCAGAGGTATCTGTTCTAGATTACCCACACAGATGATGTTAAAAGCATTTGCAGCTTCCCCGACTTCTGACTCTCTCTCCGTTTCTCTCTATATGTATGTTTGCGCCTGAAGGCATCATCTGGGCTCCATGCTGATGATTTGGGGGTGTGGAGGTGCAGGGTGGGGGGTCCTGGTCAGCAGAAATGTGCACATGGTAGAAGAACGTCAAATTACTACAGCTTTTATCCGAGCAACAGCAGCAGTATTGACTTAGCAGCGGGGGGATGGCAGGACTTTCCTCTGGCTCAGTGTTTGCTGATGTTTTTAATAATTGAAACAAGTAAAAAAACAAAACAAAAGAAAAAAAAACAAACTGAAACGGCTCGAGCTCACTTTTTTTGTTGTTGTTTGCACGCTGTTTACAGTTTTGAACGCAGAGTTTGCTGCTAATCTGTTTTCGCTGCTCAAATTGCTACAAACGACAAGGGCGACAGCGAAAACTCAACGTCGCCATGGATGTCTTTTTCAGGGCTGTCAGGCATTTATTTGAGCCATTTTCTTCACTTTGGTTTCACTCGGATAACTTTTGTTTTTCTTAATAATTATTATTTCAATAGTGAGACCCCAAATAAACTCGGTTTTCTGACAAACTGGACTTTTGAGCGCAGTCCTCAGGAAAACTGTCGAGGTCAGGACAGAAAGTCAGGATCCACAAGCAGACTCCGTCGCAAAACTCCAAGGCCTTCAAGTCTCAACAGTCCACCTGTTGAAACTAATTCAAGAAGTTGAAGATAGCCTTCCACCTTTATCATTCTGACCAATTTCACACCATGCTGATGGTGAAGAAGCTCCAGAATACAACGCAGTCACCAACTTCACCAACACAAGTTGAGCTCGTTTTGCACTCTCTGCAGACATGAGCTGCTTCCATTGGGCGCATAACAGCTGTGCAAACAGGAAATACAAAAGTAAATTTGCTCAAAAGAAATGTGCCAATATCATACAAAAAAAAAAAAAACTTTTTGGATTAAAAAAATAAATAAAATAAAAGTTGGAGTTTAGATTCTGGTGGTTTTCATCTGTATCGAAATCGGCGCTTTTCACAAAACTGCAGTGGAAAAGCTTTTTCATCATGCGACCAAATATGGTGGTGTTCATATATATCAGAGTGGATAACTGATTCTGGACAGATAGAAATAAAAAAAAAAGACAAAAAAGTCCAGGATAAAATCAAACATCTGCACCCAATTCCTGTCTTAAAAGTAAGTGACAGAGCTGAAAAAGAACAGTTCAAATGCATCTTAAAAAGCTTCAAATTAATATGTCACGCATGCCCTTGACGACGGCATGTAAACTCGTGTTCAAACGCACAAGTTGGTTACTTCTGGCTTTCTAACCATTTGTTTCAGCTCAAATGTCACTTGGGAACTAAAATAAGTCTTTTCTTTTTTTTTTTTTTGCAGACCTCCGTGTGTCCTCCATGTGAGAAAAGTGGCTCCGGGAAGCACTGCCGGAGGATGTGCTGCATCCTCTTCGCTAGAAAGTCCTAGATAGAGACCTACAATCGCAGACAGAGAGTCGCGGCGATGGGAAATCACGATCTGGAGTAAAACCACGTCCCTGAGGGGAAGAGGGTGTCAGCAGGAATTGTGGTTCGCGCTCTGGGCCGATCGGGACCACAAAGTCACTGCGGTGACCCTCCTTTCCACTTGGATCACAGGGCTCAGGCCTCATGGCCTCTCTGTGGATATCCAGTTACTAATCTACGGGCCCTGACCAGTCCTCAGTCAGATGACGCTGCCCGCCCAAGAGCAGACTGGGCTTCGCTCGGCGACACAGCCACCAGAGCAAATGTGGCCCAGCTGGCTGCTCCTGGGAAACACTTGGAGGGGGGCTGGAAAGTTTGGGATGGGGAGAGAAAACAACAACAAAAAAGAAAAGGCACAAGGATAGTCAGAAAACAGAAAGCAGTGTGTGGTCGGTCACGGTCAGTCATCGACCGTCCCCTGGGACCGTTCCCTCTCCCGGTAGAATCCGACCATGAGGAACAAAAGGCGTTGCGGTCGCATCGCGTCCGGAGGAGAAGAACAGGAAACTCAGTTTTTTGGGGTTTTTTTTTCTCTCCCCCCTTTCAGATTGAAGAACACACTGAAGCCACTTTCTGGGAGGTTTTGGTCATTTACATCAGAGCCATGTCACAAAGCATCAAAACAACTCCCATCGCAACAGCAGAAACTTTCAGTGCCTCCTTTTTTATATTTAGGCCATCCCATAATTTCTATGGAGGACAGTATTGGCTTTTAAGCAAGATGGATTCTTTTTTGTTTGTTTGTTTTCGACTGCAAAAACCCAAAATCTTACCAAGAATATTTGGCTTAGATTCCACATTTTAGTATGCTTGAAACAAGAAAAGTGACTTCGACGTAACTTTTCAGCAAGATACAGGAGATGAAGTCAATTATTCCTTAATATTGACTGAAAAGAGATGGTTCCACTGGCAGGTTATGAGAAAAATGTCTTGCTGCAAGTCAACTAGTTCTTTTTCATCAGTATTAAGGAATCGTTCATTTCAAATGAGCTCCTAAATCTCGCTGAAAAGTTGCTTTTGTTATATTTCAAGCGTACTGGGATTTGTTGACCTGGAAACCAGATCGAACACATTCGAAAATCCTGTGTTTTTGCAGTGAGCTTCTTGAGTCACAGTAAATGAAGTGAACAGTAAAAAAAAAACACCTGAAGTGATGAAAAGTAAGTTTTTTGTTTGTTTTTGGCTGCAGCGGCCCAGCCGGCAGTGACTGCCGTTCTGACGGCTACTGCCCCGCCGTGGAGACGGCATCAAGCGAAAACTTTCATTTATCTTTGCGCCGCCACACCCTCCCCTGTCTGCACATTTGAGCCTGCTGCTCCTCTGCATCTTTACCTCACTTCTCCCTGCTTTTTTTTTTGATCCCTTTATTTGCCATTTCTCTCTTCCTGAAGTCCCCCCCCTTCTTCTTTCTGTCCGTAAGATACCGCCGGTGTCAGACCTCCCAGGCGGTGTGTGCAGACGCAGGTAGACTGTCAGGGCGGTGTGAGTGTGTGGGGGGGGGGAGAAAAAAAAATCTCTTCTCTAGGCTTCCTGACGCCCCTGATCTCCGCCCCCCCCAACACACACACCTTGCCCCGGGGAGGTCAGCATCATTGTTGACATTGGACACATGTTCATCGTGGCGCGATATTAAATCTTCTCATTGGATTTGGACTGTAATTATGTCGTAAAAACAAACTGGCTGTGAAGCCATGGCCCGCCAGTGTGATCTGCTTTCATCAAGTGCAGACTGGCTTAATTACAGAGTGCGCCTTACACCCATCTTTCACTGGGCAGCTTTTCCTTCAGCTTCTTTAAGCCATCACTTTTTTTTTTTTCAAACTGAGCGTTAATCATAAGGCAATTGGTCTGTTTGCTGTGCCGGGGGTTTGAGGGAGGGGGATAGATTTGAACGCTGGTCTCCACACATCCTGTGTATTTATGATGCAAGTCCAGAATTAAGCAGATGAGCTTGACAGTTGAATCCCATCTCTCACGTTTTCTTTCCTTCTAGTGGAAGACTTTAGAGAGCTGCCTCTTTTTTTTTTTTGTCCACGCTTCCAATCTGGCGAACGAGTCGATGTCGTTAAAAACGCACCGTGCTGAGGTGAACAAGCTAAAGAAATGCTTCATACTTGACGTCGTTTCTCCTCCGTTGTCTACAGAAAGAGGCAAAAGCCTCTCAAGCAGACAATGAATGATTTTTGGTGACAAAATATTTGATGACGTAGCATTCGAGTCGTTTTGGAGTCGTACCGAGATGTGATGATTTGCTCGAGGGTTCATACTTTTTGGACCAGTCCACGTTTCTGCTCGTTGCAAACATAAAGTACAATATGCACAGCAGCACATATTGTAGAATATAGCTGAAGATCTGAAAAGTGCAGGTTAAACCTACTGCTCTACTCCGACACCCTAAAATAAGTTCAATCGAGACCAGCGAAGATGAAAAATCGACCATTTAGAGCAATGAACACTGCAGAGAGACTAGGGACTGATGCTACATTAAACAACCGTATTGTGCTGCAGGAATGTTTCTCCTTCAACAGGAACATGGACGCTGGTCAGAGAGGAGAATACCAGCTAAACACTTTGGGAAAAAAAAAAACCCAAAAACAAAACTTGAGACTGGGTTGTGGGTTTCACTTACGTGAAACAGTAAGTCACGGAGGACCTACAAACGGATTAGTTTAAAGTTCTTCCACGCTCTACAATCGACCAATCAACCCAATTGAGAACCTGTTGGTACGAACCTGTTGGTACGTGATGAAGAGGCAAGGAGGCTGTTGGTTCTCAACGTAAACGGTTTGAGTACCAACCTCGAGGTACAGTCAGGGAAACTGAAATGAAAAAGGTGCCATGACTTCCCTTTGTAATGGGCAAAAAAGGAAAAGTTTGACTTCTGAATTGAATTACTTTTAACCCAACAATGCCTCCATATTCAGGCGTATACTAGAAAAAAGAGAATACGATGTCTACCAACAGGAAACTATGGCAGGATGCAAAAAAAATATGAAAAAAATCAAATTATCTTGGGATTTACCCTTTTTTATGTCTTAATAGTTGAGGAGAAAAAGACAGGGGGAGGCTGGAGGGTCACAGTGGGGGAATTCTCTCGCTTTTCCCCTCTCTTCAGCCTTGTATGATGGGTTCATCTGTGCTGTGACAGGTGTGTGAAGTGGCCATCTGACTGGATGTAATTGCCACTTCTCTCCTGCAGGTCACTCTCCGTCCCCTGGCTTCACAAAGAAGCCATCGGTGAGGGAAGTTTTAATGCTTGCTGCTTCATCAGAGCAAGAACAGCAACCGTCACTGCTGTGGAGTTTTCTCGAATGACAAAAATCGTCCAAATCCGATTGGACGATCAGATCCCTGTAATGCAAGGTTACAGAGTCCAAGCAAATTTAATTAATTTTATTGAGAATGTCGTGAGCACAGCCCAGAAATACCAACAGTGATACCAAAGAGTCACGGACAGGGATTTGGTTTTTGATGAGGAAAAAGCACATTTGCTTCTGAATTCAGATTCGTTGAGTCAAACAACATTATGACTCTTCTCAATAGTAGGTTTGATTTATGTTTGAATTAAGCCTCATTGATGCTTTTGTCAAAACAATTTTAAAATTCACGTTTTAAAAGAAAAGTCATTTCTCGCTGTGGGCGCCTGATAATATGGAGAAATGAGAGCACAACTCACAGGTGCGGCGCTTTAAGGTGTAACACAGAACATACTAGACAAACAGTATACACTAGATAAATGGAGAACATTAATACTAATTATGTGGAGGCCCACTCCCACCATCTGTGCTATAGAAATCACAATATTCCAGCTTCAAATATTCACTGACGTGTTGGATCATCCTCTGAGAAATGGGTCAGTACTCAAACGTCTTGGTTTTGGAGGCAGGAACAGGTAATTCAGCGGATAGCTAAAGCAGACGTCACTCACAGGTTGGGCTGCTGGCGGGATCTGTTTCAAGCTGCAGCACATCTGAGCGGCGGGGCTTTTTCCTGACAACTCAGAGTCGTGCGTCCCTTTCTCCACGAAGGACAACCGACCTGGCTGGAGTCCTGGCAGAAGGAAAGGGTTTGGCCGGCTCACGTACTCGAATCCAGGTAGTTCAGAAAATCAACTCCAGGCCAATCAGCACGCAGCAAGTTAATGATGTAAAGCTGCTAGGCATGAATTGTGATTATGTTGGATCTTTCCATTCTTCCATCCATTTTCTATGTACTCCTGGTTTTGTTAAGGATCTGGTGGTAAGTTTTTTTTGTTTTTTTTTACCATTTCAAAATTAGATCTGGACAACATACTGAATGTCAGTCACAATTTCTGTGTGCAATATCAGGTGAAATTAACTTGTTAGCATTTATTTCAGTTACGTATTAAACCAGTTGTGCGATCTTTCCAAAAATTTTTATTCCCTCACAATATGGATGCACATTTTATTGTGAGAGTGCATTTTGAAAGTATAAAATAAGACATCGAGGAACTCTGTAAAATTCAAGGAAGGTATTAAACAGTTAAATCCAAGTAATTAAATGCAAGGTTGTGTGTTGCCTTTTACGATTTGGGTAGGTTTCCGGTAGACTGTATGTGTAAGGATCGCCAACGTGGCCACTGTCATGACTGGTTTTGACAATGGTCAAGTTGATAGATGGAAAACATGCCTGGAGCAACATGGACTCAAGTCGAGAATAATCATGTCGAAATCGATCTGCAAGTGTGCCCAGTGCCAGTGGGCTACCAATGGCAAATTCATCGAGAGGCAGGACAGGAAGGTACTGGGGAGGCGGGGCCTCTGTCTTCAGAGTCATAGGTCCTCTCCTCATAGGAAGCCTCTCCTGGCTGGAATATGGGAAAATGGACCTGAAGGGCTCACGTCGCCAGGACTTTCAGAGACAAAGCCTGACTCAACCAGAGGGGAAGTTTTACCAAAGAAAGGAGTGGGAGCTGAGCTGAAAGAGAAAAAAATCATTTAGTCTAGATCCCAAGACAGAGAACACCTCCAGCGAGTCACCTACCTTGGTTTGGTGAGGTTGGGAATCTTTGATGTCCTGGATATACATCAGACCCAGAGAGAGCAGGAACTGGTCTCATCTGAGCACATCTGGGTTGCTCGTCTGCATAAAGCTGCGCAGTTCACTTTGGCGCACTTGCGAAACCTTCAGCAACACATCCAGGACCAGGTTCCCCCCGACTGGAACTAAAAGGGTTTGTACCAGAAACCCCAAGAGGATCCAAAGCTGCAAAGGGAGACATTAGCAGTTTTTCTGCTGATGAGGCACGATGTGTCCAGATTGATCAAGAAGTGGATTTACCTTTCTTTGTGAAGTATCCATTAATTGCACCAGCCAGTATGACAAGTAGCCACAGCCTATTGAGAAACAATAGGCTGAATAAAATTGTCTTTTATATACATATATATATATATATATCAAGTTGAAAGGAGAAAAAAAACGAAGCCATGAACCACAAACTAGTTGTTACCTTGAGGAGACCAAGCCAGCCATCACATTTGATGAGCAGCCTTGTGCAAATCACTGATTACAGTTGGGAGACTTTCACTGACCAATCACAGCGTCGGAAG